CGCCGATGCCGCCCGCCTGCTGACCCGGGTAAGGGAGGGGTAAGGGAGCCCTCCGTGCTCCACCATGGTGTTAGGAGCGGCTGATGGTGAGGCGTAGCTGCCCACAGGGCACTCCTAATGGCAAGTTCCCCCCCGCCCTCCCTCCCAATTTCGCATGTTTTAAACTAGGCCTAAATTTGTGGGGAGAGGCTTAAATTCATTTTATGCCTAGAAAACACACTGGGTTTTCCTAGTGGGTATGTGTGTATTGTTGGAGAAACACGGTATTCATTTTGAACATTAAAAATGGGATGCAGGCAATAGGTTACCCACTCAAACAGTAGCAGATAGCCTGATTATTCAGAAGGTTTTCAAAGTTCTGTGGCTATATTGTTGACTTTTGGATTATGTCTTTGTTCATGATGGTCCTCTAGAGGTTCTTAAGCACAATAAAAATGTTGATTATGACCTATAAAGAAGATACATTGTTCTCAAATATTAGATGAGAGACCTTTATCAGCCCTGCTACCATGGGAAACATGTTTGATAGAAAAACAAGAGAGATTTCCTGTATGACTGCTCCTAATTTTCATTTCATTTTAATTTTAATTTCCCAGCAAGAAATGCTTTGATTCTAGCAGACCTAAGGGGAGGGAGGTGGTTGATTGGTTATCAATATTGTCTTCATGATACCTGAATGGTGTTTATAATTTCAAAACAAGGCTTTTCAATTGCCACAAGCAGCAATGGTTGGAAAGCTGAGGTATAACTAAGTAAAGAAAACGAACTGCCCAGGGAGGCATGGAAAAAACTCCTTGAAACATGAATATGAGTAAAATACAAAACAGAAAATCAATACAGTAAAAATATACATCCAACAACAACAACAACAACAAAGAAAAACAATGTGTAGATAAAAAGAAAAATGATCCAAACATCCAACATTAAACTTATAACAAAATCCACCCTAGCTGGATGCTGAAAATAAAAATAAAAAACCCTAATAAATTCTCCCCCCCCCTCACATAATGGTCCATAAAAAGTTATAAATTTTCTCACCCTTATTTAACAATAAAATATATATAAACAAATATTTCAAATAAGGAGGTCTCTATCTAATAAATGAATCAACCCTACATCTAATATATATATAAATAAAATAAAAAATAGTCAACAAATTAGCCCAAATGTTATACTAACCTTCAAATTCCTGTTAATCATCTGTTATTGTATTTAACATATAGAAAGTCCACAACGGCTTCTAGTCTATTACACAGCTGTCTATTAAGGTCACCTCTGCTAATTCTTTCTGTTTTAAATAAAACCCATTCTTCAACCGTTGATATCTCCTTTCCTTTCCAGATATTAACTTTTATGGGATAATGTTTAATAGGATAAACTTGAGATAATAACATTAACATATGGTATGATTCCAAAGTGAATTTTCCAGCCTTCATGCTATTTCTGAATATCTTTATATTTGCAGATATGGAATCTGCATTGCTGTCTGTTGGACAAATGTAAATCAGTCAGGATTCACCTGTGTTTTATTTTGTTGCAGAGGTGTGGCAAACTACAATAACTCAGTGCTGCAATTTAATTAATGAAGGAAAATATTTCTGCCTTGAAGATTCAGGCAAAGTTGATCCACCCTGACAAAACACTTTGCTTGATGTCAGAGGTTCTGGCATGTGAGCAGCAAATATCCATCAAAGTTCTAATTCTTTGCTCTAATTCAGCAAAGAAAAGTATTTCTAAAAGATCTGCACATCTAATCTAACCTTACTTTCTTATTAGATATTCAAACCTTTAATTTCTTACTCAGTCCCTGAGGAACTAATGTATAGAAATCTTGGTTAATAAACTCATTTGAGTTGAGTTTGCTATATGGAGTAAAATAGGTGTGGTGGTTAAGTTGTTGACTATGACTGAGAATAGAATGGGAACAATTGGCTGCAACTGCCTGGCTACGCCCACTCCACTGACTGTGAGATGTACATACCTCTTGATTGCAGCAGGGTAGAAGTTTGATAGACAAATAACTAAATAAATAATATATATGTTTTCATGTATAATTTACCAATACCAAGATTATATCAGCCTAATAGGAGGTGCAATGGCACAGTGGTTTAGAGCAGTGTCGCCAACTGGTGGGTTGGGGACCACTGGTGGTCCACAAGAAAATTTTGGTGGTCCACAGAGAAATGTCACCCCCAGGTCTTTGGCCTGTGGGAACCTCCCCGCCCATTCACTCCTTACCTGGCAAACTTGCCTGCTAAGTTGCTATTTTTCCTTTTTTTCCCTTGACCACCAGCTGGTCTGCTGTGCTGAGAGATTTAGATTAGCTAGAAAGCAAGAAATCGCAGATCTGAGCCTGAAGCTTCTATTATTCAGTGCAGACTCAGGTAGCCGATTGCAGAAACACAGATCTCTAAGTGAATCTGTGATTCTGTGAGCAACTCAATCTGCCTACCTGCTCTGCCTGATTTTGGGTAAAAGTTGCTCTTTTTTAAATAAAAAATTCAATATTTACATACATGGTGTGTTGTGAGTTAATTTTGTGAGTTTGCTTGCTAGCAAATTTTATGGATTTGCTTGCAAGCAAATTTTATGTGACAGACTCAGGTAGCTAATGGCAGAAGGTGATTCTGAGTGAATCTGTGAATCTGTGAGCAACTCAATCTGCCTGTCTGGTTTGCCTGATTTGGGGTAAAAGTTGCTGTAATGACCCAGGGTGGGATACAAAACAAACACACTCACAAAAAACAGGTGAAGCCCCTTTTATTCCTTCCGTTTGCTTCCAAGCTCTGAATATCTTTGATGGAAGACAAAAAAAACAAACAAAACTCCCACACAGTAACACGAAGAAGGAAAAAAGCAACACAAAAAAGAGGAACTATAAGCTAGAGATATTTATACTATTTGTTTCCAGCATTTGCCACTACGCAGGTCCAAACTCTTATTCAGTTGTCACACCTGCAGCCCATGAAGAGGATCAAGGCCCTCTCCTCCCGAGGAGACCACATCTCTCCCTTATCCTCTCCTCCCTGCGTGCCCTAGGATGGATAGGGGATGGGTCTGGGTCCTCCTCTGACTGCTCAGCTGGTCTCTGCCCTTCCCCAGTTTCTTCTACAACTTCTGGAGCCACACTTCCACCCTCTGTCGGCTGTTCCTCCTCTCCCTCAGAAGCAGTCTCCACTAAGGGCATGACACTTGCTCTTTTTTAAATAAAAAATTCAAAATATTTATAATATTTACATACAAACTATGCCCAGACAGTCACATAACCATCAAGCCACACCCACAAATTAGGTCATGCCCACAGAACCAGTTGTTAAGAAATTTGAATCCCACCCCTGCCTGTATGTGTGTGTGTGTGTGTGTGTGTGAGAGAGAGAGAGAGAGCTTAGATCAGATCTCTCTCTCTCTCTCTCTCCCTCTCTCTCCCTCCCTTCCTCCCCCCCCTCTTTTTTTTTCTCTCCCACCAACGTCAGCAAGCCACCATCACTCAAAATTCATATTAGTGATCCCTGGGATTTAAAATTATGAGTTTGGTGGTCCCTGAGATCCAAAAGGTTGGCGACCCCTGGTTTAGAGTGCAGTACTGCAGGTTACTTCTGCTGACTGCCAGCTGCCTGCAATTTGGCAGATCGAATCTCACCAGGTTCAAGGTTGACTCGGCCTTCCATCCTTCCAAGGTGGGTAAAATGAGGAGCCAAAATAGTTGGGGGCAATATGCTGACTCTGTAAACTGCTTAGAGAGGGCTGTAAAGCACTGTAAAGTGGTATATAAGTCTAAGTGCTATTGCTATTAGAAGTAAATCATGATCCCCCAGATTTATTTCAAATACCACTATTGAATGGATTGCTTCATACAGCCACAGGACCAGCCTTTCCCAATGCAGTGCCCTGTTGGATTAGCTTCCATTATCCTTCACCAGCGAATAGCATAAAAGAGAAAAGTGTCATTGAGAAAGGCTTCATTGACAAGGATAAGTGGAGATGAATAGATATCGAGAATAATAGTTATAATTATTGTATGTATAAGCTTTATTATTGGTATATAATTAAGAATGTAGTAGAGATTGCACCCAGATGGCATACTGTTACTGTGAAAAATGAATTCCTATATATAACCAAGAAAATTGTACATTTGAAAGTATTAATATGTGATGTATAACAAAGGAAAAGTACAATAAAAATATTTGAAAAAAAAAAAAGAAAGGCATCATTGACTACTAGGATCATAATCTGTGTGAGGACCTAGCATGTATTCAGGCAGAAGTTTTGCAATAGCCATCTCATCAATCCAATTCACAGTGATTACAGGACTGTGAGACATGCTTTCACTGGCTCCCATGCTCTGCTTCTAGTAATAACATCAAAATAGTTGGGTATTTGGAAAAAGTCATGAAAAAAAAAGTCATTTTCCCCTATGTTACTAAATTGTATCCATTCATTGAACACCGAAACCTATAGGACCATGATGGCAAACCTATGGCATGCATGCCGGAAGTGGCACGCAGAGCCATTTCTGCCGGCACACAAGAGGTTGCCCAAAAGAGCCCCACTGTGCATGAATGTGTGCCCCCACACTAACCAGCTGATTTTCAGGTACTTGCTGTGCATGCACGGGGGGGAGATGCATGTGCCGAAGATGCACATGCATGCACAGGGGGTGCATTGGGGGGGTCGTACACACATACGCAGAGGCATGTGGCACGGGGGGTCATATACACATGCGCAGAGGCGTGCAGTGTACACGCAGGGGGCAGGCGTGCATGTGCAGGGGGCGGGGGGAGGTTGCACATGCATTGCATCATGTGTGCAGGCACGCGAGAGGGCGAGCGCGCACTTTCAGCATGCAACGTGGAAAAGGCTAGTCATCACATTTCAATGTCCACCCTTTGAAACGAAATATGCATGAAGAAAAGTTATTGTAATTATTTAGAGTATAGAATCAGAGCCATGATAATCTAAGACTAAAATCTTTTCTTGAGTATAAAGCTTCCTGAGTGACCTTTGGCCAGTTATTATCCATAGTTTCACTGAGAAATTGTGAGGATTGCTGGAGAAATGGTTGTTGAAGATGACAGAACTAGTGGAAATGGCAAAATTAACTTGTTTGGTTAATGAACGATTAACAGGTATGTTTATTTGTGACTGTAAATCTCTTATGGACTTTCCACAAATGAGAAAAATTAACTTGTGATTTGTGGGTTTGAAAGGAAGCTTACAGAAAGTAGGAAATTATGATTTAACCTGAAGAGAGAGTATGTAAAATTGCTTCCTGCAAGCATAGAGAGCACAGGATGTAACAACCTCTTTCCTCAACTATGACCACAAATAGTCTTTTCAAAAACTTCAAAACCAGCGGTGGGATTCAAATTTTTTTACTACTGGTTCTGTGGGCGTGGCTTGGTGGGCATGGCAGGGAAAGGATACTGTAAAATCTCCAGTCAGAGGTGTATTTGCCAGTTCTCCAAACTACTGAAAATTTCCGCTACCGGTTCTCCAGAACTGATCAGAACCTGCTGAATACTACCTCTGTTCAACCCCCCCAAAAAAGTACACAATTGCACCCACAGGAAAATGAGTGAATGGAGAAAACACTGGACTTAGAGAGACAAGAAGACTTTGCAATGAACAATGAATTACTCTGGGGTGTTCAGCTGAGTAGTGTTGTTGTCAGCACTCTGTTGGGAAGAGAAGATCCCTCCTCCAATATTTCACCTAATGAGTCCTTGCTCTGAGTCCAGAATTTGCACTCGAAATATCCATTCTAGTGGTGGATAGTTTTTATAGCTTGCTGCTCATGCAGGAGATGAGGAGTAAGACAAAAGCTACTTAAATAAATGAAAAGACAAAATAAAATTTGACCTTGAGTTTATGAACAAAAGTTTACAAATCTTCCCAGCCTATTTATATTCTATCAGAAAAATACTGTATATCTGTTTGTGGATCTTTCACTACAGGAAAAAGATTAGTAGTAAACTTTGTCTGCCTTGGCTTCCCAAAATCTGGGGCTTTGTAGATATGTTGAACTTCATTTTCATTTTCTGTAATCTGCCAGTCAGCATTCCATTGGTTATACCAATTCCATTGGTTATGGAATTATGGAATATCTTCATAGACCTATGATGGCGAACCTATGGCATGCAGAGCAATTTGTGCTGGCACGTGAGCTGCAGGCAAACTTACCTCACTGCTCATGCGCACACCTCCCAGCTGATTTTTTTTTCGGTTGATTTGAGGCTTTTTGGGGCCTCCCAGAGGCTTGGAAAAAGCCCCTGCAAGGCTTTGCAGGATGAATTATAGACCTGTTTCATCACTTCCTGTAATACCGGAAGTGATGAAATGGGCCTATAATTTGTCCTGAAAAGCCTTGCAGAGGCTTTTTCCAAGCCTCTGGGAGGTTGAAAAAAGCCTCAAACCAGCTGAAAAATCAGCTATGAAGCATAGTGCAGGTAAGGGGGTGGGGTGATTGCAAGCACAGGGGCATGGGGAGGGGGGCGTGCATTGCATTCTGGTTGCCGGCATGCAAGTGTGTGCATGCTGGCGCATGCGCAAGTTTTGGCACAGGAACCCAAAAAGGTTAGTCACCACTGTCATAGACCCTGGAGATGACCAGACTGGAGAAACTTTATAGCAATGTATTTTACATATCTTGACTGCCATCTTGTGGTAGTATAGCAGTATAATTTGTTTTCATGATGATAATCCTCTCTACACGTATCTAAATTAATACAGTATAAAATGCTGTATTTGTTAAAAGACAGGAAACTCATTTATTAATGAGGAGATTATAGCTTGCTTAATTGTCCCAAGGAACTGTTTAGATAAAGCTGAAGTTATTGGAGAGGAGATAAGCTAACAAATGTGTTTAATGCTCACTCTTTCTTTCCCTGATAATACCAGGAACAACATTTTAAAAGGAATATTACTAATAGACTCAAATATGCTCAATAGAAATTAGTCTACGCTGCATCATAGAACCTCTTCTTGACATTGCTCAACAACCAAGTCAGTTTTCTATGAACATAAATTTTCTCAGATGCAAGTTACAATTAGTATGATCCATTCTGAATTCCATTCATATTACAGAATAATTGGATATCCAATTCTCCACTTGTATGTAATGCAATCTCTTTCCTACTTCTACTCTCTTGTCTGTGTTTGTCTCACTTTTGTTCTATAGTTATTTCAATTTTTAAAAAATGACTGAAGCCATCACCTCTTGTCCTAGGTGATGTTTTCTTTCTCGCCATTTCGCCAGTTCAGGCACAGACTCCAGAGAGTAATTAGGAAGGCAGAAAAAAAAATTACTACCCACCTGCCTTCAATTGAGGACCTGTATACTGCATGAGTCAAAAAGTGGGCTGTGAAAATATTTATAGACCCCTCACATCCTGGACATAAACTGTTTCAATTCCTACCCTTAAAACAACGCTATAGAGCACTGCACACCAAAACAATTAGACACAGGGACAGTTTTTCCCCGAATGCCATCACTCTGCTAAACAAATAATTCCCTCAACACTGTCCAACTATTTACGAAGTCTGCACTACTATTACCATTAATCTTCTCATCACTCCTTATCACCCATCCCCTCCCACTGGTGACTGTGTGACTGTAACTTTGTCGCTTGTATCCTTACGATTTATATTGACTGTTTCCTAGTACGATTTGATTGCTTAGTGTACCCTATGACTATTATTATGTGTTGCACTTGATGATTATTGACTCTTGATGAATGTGTATTTTCTTTTATGTACACTGAGAGCATTTGCACCAAGACAAATTCTTTGTGTGTCCAATCACACTTGACCAATAAAGAATTCCATTCCATTCTATTCCATTCCATTCCATTCCATTCTACTCTATCCTATCCTATTCTATTCTATTATTGTTAAGCGAATCTGGCTTCCCCATAGACTTTGCTGGTCAGAAGGTTGCAAAAGGTGATCACATGACCCTGGGACACTGCAACCATCATAAATATGAATCATAAGTATGAGTCAGTTGTCAAGCATCTGAATTTTGATCACATGACTATGGGGATAATGCAACAGTCGTAAGTGTAAATCACAGTCAGAAGTCACTTTTTCCACCGCCGTTGTAACTTGGAACGGTTATTAAACAATTTGCTGTAAGTCGAGGACAACCTGTACTTTGGAAGTAGCCAGTTATGCATCTCCCAAACACACCAAATTACAATAGGAAAATGGCATTTTAAAAAAATATTAAGTCTGCCTCTTTATTTGGTGGTGTGAGCCATGTCCTAAAATAGATGCATTAAACCTTTAAGACATTTAATGCATTTATTTTTTTTTCCTCCAAGTAGCCAAATTTAAAACAAAAGTATATTTTTTTAAATTAAAGCTAAATATTATTCTATTACAGTTAAAATGAAATGGTGTGTGTATTTATATAGATAGACAGTTGAGACAAACTTTTGGAGAATTTTCAGGGAAATGCAACTCTGCTTCGCCACTTGATGTCACTGTTGCGACAAGTTCTCTGATCTTCTAAAAATAAACAGGAAAGAATTATCTCTCATTTATAATGACACTTGTATTAATAAGAACTTGAATGAAACATTCTCAGTTTTATCTCTATTCGTAACCATTTTAAGAATAAATTGGCCCTGTTTAAAGCAATTCTCATCCCATCTTGGCTTTTTAAAACGATTCAAGTGCTTGTGAAACCTAGCACTTCTTAGGTTCCATTTTATTAAATGTTTTGGAAATGCCAGATTTTGTTGGAAAAATGTTCACGAAGCTGCTTGCCAGAAGTTTATTTTTGGGGGGCCTGCAAAATCCTTGTATAGATCCAATTGAATACCACTTCAGATATGTGACATCTGGTCAGTTTTGATTCCCAATTGTTGTAGTCTATCAGAATATTATAATTCAATGATTAGAATTTACTTTTTCATAATAATTATATTAAAACACCACTTTCTTAATAGTTCTGCAGAGTTAATCCAGTTGCTCCAACAATAACGAAGGAGATCAGTTCTACCTTCCCCTCCACTGATAAACATTTTACCCAATATGCTTTGCAGTGCAGATCAGAGGTGGTTTTCAGCTGGTTCTGACCAGTTGTGGAGAAACGATAGCGGACATTTTGAGAGAACCAGCAAATACCACCTCTGACTGGCCCCGCCCCCATCTATTCTCTGCCTCCAGAGTCCCAGCTGATCGGCTGGGTCTTCTTTTGTTGCCCTGCACAGGAGAATGGAGCTGGAAAGCAGGTTATTGAGGTGGGGAGGGAATGGGATTTTGCAGTAACCTTCCTCAGGAGTGAGGAGGGAATGGAGATTTTGCAGTATCCTTCCCCTGCCATGCCCATCAAACCACTCCCACAGAACTGGTAGTAAAAATTTTTGAATCCCGGACACTTCCGGCTTGTGGTGCTTCGGTGCAGGCAGGAATCCGTGACTGTGCATGGTCTCTGCCTGTATTCACTGCCTGAGTGCCCTGAGCCATTTGGCTTCGGGGCTAAGCCACCTTTGTAGAAGGTGGTGAAGACTGGGGGCTTCTGGCAGGGACGAGAGACATCGCATCTCTCTCCCCTAGCCGGCTAAATCTCCCTCTCCGATGGCAGCTGAGCGGTGGTCTCTAATGGCCACCACATAGAAGAGCTCAGCCGGAAAAAGAAAGTGCTGGAGGAGTTTGTGAAGAAATGAAAGTAATTTTGCTGAACGGGACAAAGGAACAGTGAAAGTATCCTGGTATTTAACACCTACTAAAGACACATTGTTCCCAGACTGAGTAAGCAGCGAATGGATATCAAAGGGAAAACTTTTTTTCTTTTCACTCTCCTTCCAAACGGAACAGCTTTGAGAGAAATTGGAAACCCGCATTGAAGGTATGCTAAATGCTAAAGACTATGCTAATGCAAAAGGGATATGGATTTCTAAATATTTAAAGAAAATTTTTTCTTTTGCTGTGAGTGGGAAGGGAGAGGAAAAAAAATTGAAGTAGAAGTTGAAAATAAGGAGCAGACTGCCTAGAATTTTAAAGAGCCATTTGAACATTAATAAGACTTCAAAAAGACATATTTTAATTGGAATTTGTGATTTAATAGCAACCCCAGAAAAAGAAATGGAAGAAGGGGAAAAGTGCTAAATGAAATAGTCTATCTGGATTGTTTGGTGACTTTGCATCTTTTGGGAAACTTTTTTTCTCTGTTTAAAAACACTCGGGTGGTTGTTTTGGGAAATTTTTTTCCTCTTTGTAATGGCATCACCCTTGGATGAATCTAAAACTGAATACCTAAAATATAAAAAGGAAGAACAAGACTGAAAAGATACTTTGGATATTCTTTTTCAATCTCTAGAAATGGCGGTGCATTCCTATGGAGAATTGATTGCGCAGCAGGATAATTGGGACAAAGAAGAAACCATCTTTGATGAACATGTGATTCTATTGGGGGAGAAGAAGGAAGAGGAAAAAGAAAAAGGGATTTTAAAACCTAAAAAAACAACCAAAAAAGATAAAAATGAGTTGAAGGGTGGATATAAGGTTAGAAAACAACAGGAAAGGGGAAAGCACAAGAAGAAAAGGGAGGTGGAGAGACAAAGGGGTAAAAAGGGTAAGGAAAAGAATAAGCAAGGGAGAAAGGAAGGGGTGAGAAGTCTCAACGATGGGAAGCAAGATTTAAAGAAACAAAATTTATTTAGAGACAATGGGTAAATTTAATTGAAAAAGGGATTCTGTAAGGTACATAAGATTGTGTTATTATAGGCATTTATAGAATAAAATGTTTAAGATATAAATAAGTATTAATAGGTATGATTAAAATGGTTTTGACAGGGGTACTAGCTATATTATATATTTATAAATTTGTCTCTTTGTTATTGCTGTTCTTTCTTTTTTCTTTTTCTCTTTATATAATATATTGTGTGACTTTAGGATGTGCTAAACAGAATCCCAATACAAGTTATGTGTGATATTAAGTATTATTAGGTTAGAGGAAAGAGTTAAAGGTGTCATACTCCAATTAGTGTACAGGAGAGGTTTTGTTTAAAGAGAAAAAATGAATGGATAGTTGAGAACAGACAAAGAATGATAAGTATTATAACTTGAACTGAGATAAGTAGAATAAAACGAAGAGAGTTAAAAAAAGGAAGAAGCTATATAGAAAATGGAAAACGGTAATAAGATATGGAATGATATATAAAAGGAACATGATTTTTGAAGGGGCGTCTGTACGATGAGTTTTAACCCAGGATCAAGCAACTTTCAGAAAAGATGTTTTAGGTTTTTATGTTTTATGTCTTGTTTGTTTTTGTATTGCAAGAGAATAATGAAAATGTATAAGACAGATGGATATAAAAAATGTATACAATCTAAAGTTAAAGAGATATAATTTGAATAAATAGAAGGAAAGGAAGTAATAAAGAGAAGTTTCGGGATAAGATATGAAGATGAACAGATAAGGTAAATATATATATTAAATTGTGTTTGTTTCGAAATGTGATAACTTGGAATAATTCTGTCTTTAAATAAGATGTTGTATTGGTTTTTTTAGAAAAAAAATTCTTATGTCATTATATTTTATGTTTTGTTTGTCTGTGTATTGTTTTGGAAAATCAATAAAATTTGTTTAAAAAAAAAAATTGAATCCCATGACTGGTGCAGATCTTTCACCAATTTTGGAAAGTCCAAGTGCATTTAACTTGTGAAAATGTTCCCTGTTCAAAACTATGCAGAACAGTCTCAATTGCAAAAAGTTATCTCAAACTTGTAGATGAGAACTGGGGAAAGGGAGGGAGGGGCATGCAAGTATTCACATCTCTGTTTCTACCCATTACATCACTAATTTGAAAGCCACCATTTGCTTATACCAATTCAAGATTCAGTTTAAAATAAAATTTTATCTCAAAATGGATAACAGTATATCTCAATCAAGGATGATAAGTGCACAGACTGTGATTTGTATGTCTATCCCACCTGACACTTCTGAATCATTAATATTTGGCTGAGAATTATAGCCCAATTATATTTGGAAGGAGAAAGTTATGAAAGGTCCCTTTGGATTACAATAGAAGGTGAGGAATAGTTGGAAATAGAATACAGGTAGTCCTCGACTTACAACATTTCATTTAGTGACTGTTCAAAATTACAACAGCACTGAAAAAAGTGACTTATGACCATTTTTCACACGACTTTTATAGCAGTCCCATGATCATGTGATAAAAATGTAGACACTTGGCAGTTGGTTCATACTTATGACTGTTCCTGTGTCCCAAGGTCACATGATTACCATTTTGACAAGCAAAATCAATGTGGAATTTCACTTCACAACTGTGATTTACCCAGATGTCTGACTTTTGTTTTGGGCTCAATTGTAATTGTAAGTCGAGGACTACCTATATTAGATACAGATATGTTAACTATGGTGAAGTTCCTTCCTTCACTGGAAAATTCTTGTGGGTTAATATTTTTTCCTAAATTCAGACATGTCCTAATGGCATATGTAATTCATTATTTTAACCATATTTGTGCTTTGAGTAAAAAGTATTTGACAGTGATGCTAATGATGAGATGCTGGATTTACTCTTGTTTTTAGAAATTCCAATTTTTTTAAAAAAATAAACTCTTATCTGCCACCAATCAGATTCTTTTCTTCTTTGATTACGATATAGCACTAGCACTTAGACTTATCTCCATAGTGCTTTACATCACTCTCTGAGCAGTTTATAGTAACAGCATATTGCCCCCAACAATCTGGGTCCTCTTTATATAGATACACCTATAAAGTCTATTAATTAATCCTACTCTTTCTGTAATTGACATTTTCAGAAATGTTCAAATATGTTATCCATCTTGTTGTCCATAATAGGAAATTCACTCTATAATGCAATCTGAGATTGCGAAATGTTGCTCCATCTCTTTCTTTTGAGTCTCCCTCAGTCTAAATCTGTTTATTGCTCTTCGTCAGTCCTGCATATTTTTGTCTGAAATTCAAATTGATGCTGTTTGGAATAACCGGGTAGTATATTCATTTTTATTATTCTAACCAAGGAAGTTTTATTTTTTTTCCACGTTTCAAGCTTTTGTTTTATTTCTTTCTATTATTTATTGTAATTATTTTGAAGTGTATACTCATTGCTTCTTTATCAAGTGGAGTCCGAGATATTTCACTGAATCTTTTGCTATTTCACAGCCATTTTGTTTTTCACAATCTTGAATGCTTAAATGCTTTGCTGTTATCTTAGTTTTCTTTTCATTGATGTTAAGAAAAGCAGCTGAAGTCTTTGATTACACGAATGAACTGTCATATAGAGCATTATGGTTGTTAAATTGTTAATACTATCTCATAGTATTTTATCTAGTATTCCTCTCATTGAATTTTAATCCTGATTGTTTGTGTATCTTTTGGGGTCTTGTTTGCTAGAAATCCTTTATAAACTTTGCTATTGACATATACTTTTCACCCCTTCTTCTCTAGGATTTATTTTGTCTAGAATAGGGGTGTCAAACTGGCAGCCCAAGGGCCAGATGTATCAAGCGGAGGCCACACCCAACCCAGCTCCACGAAGGTGGAAAAATATCACAAAATGTCACATGATGGCAATGTGACACTGTGACTTTGACACTCGTGGTCTTCAAATAGAAATATTCATTCCAAAAGGCCTTTTCCACACCTAAAATATCACCACTACTTTCTGTCATGTTCCAGAAACCAAGAAAAAGGTGCAGAGTTACTTTTAAGTAGTTTCCTTTATTGTTCTTACCTATAGGCAGAAATCTTGCAAACTAAAACTACTATCTACATCATTCTGTAAAATTTTAGGGAGGCACAATCTTGACCCGCTTTCTCCCAGCTAAACTATCTGGACTTCATTGTGTCTTGATCCTCTGAAATACAGCCACTCTCTCTGGATCTCTAGACTATCTTCCACCACAGTTCTTTTCTTAAAGTTGATATTTGCAGTACATTTATGATGAACTCATTGTTGTCTATGATGTATTTTCCTCTTTGGAATATAACCTTTTGGTGTAGTAGATTCTAATTTGAAAATATTCTCTCTTGTACACTTAACATATTTAATGATAAATTGTCAGGGTAATGATGATTTAGTTGTTGTAATGCTGTAATAATGCTGCAACGGTTAGACTGAGTCTGCAGGGTTATTTGACAGTTATCACTTTAAGAATCTGTATTATAAGAGAGGCCCTATTGGAGCGTATCTCTCTCTCTCCATGTGTTCTTCCCTGCTGTAGCTGCTGGTCGATTGTTTGACTTTTGCCTACTATGTGTATGTATATTATTTTGTAGAGATAAACCATTATTTATTATTACAAACTTCCTTTTGATGTTATTGCTCCTGGGTTGTGCGCACTCTGGCATACATATCTTATATAATCAATGTTCAATAAATAAATTTGTCTCTATGACTGAGATTGTGTTGGCCCATTATTCATTAAGGTTATATATGCTGCTTCCCATATCTTTGTTACTGTTATTTTAATTTCATTCATTGTCTTCATTAGTGTTTCCACCGTTTCTTTGTTTCTTGAATTGTTATAGAATTATTTATAGAACACTGAAGTATTCGTCAGTGAATACTTTATGTTCTGTATCTCAAATATATGTTTTCTGATTTTCTCTGTCAGCCTTATGTTTTGTACAAAACTTTAAAGATGCAATCATACTGGATGAATTGGAAAACTAAAGGAAAAAAATCAATAAAATTTACTTCAAGTTATCATTTACTGTAAGGGCAAATTGCTGTTTTACAGATGCTATATAATTCTGTCAATGATTGCCAAGATCGACAAAGTATCTAACAACAAATATGGATGGATCTTTGTTGGAAATGCTGAAGAAACTTTCTACTATATGAGTGGTTATGTACCCCCCCCCCCAAATACTGGAAAGTAATGCATCATAGTATTTTTAAAAATCCTAAAAATACAGTTCAGACTGAAAGCACAGATGCTTTCGTTAACTATAATCCCTGAAAACAGAAATGAAAAGTATCACAATTTACTAAGATATATGTGAATAGTTTCAAGAACAAACCATGTTCAACACTGGAAAAAAGGAGATCATGCCAACAATATTAGAATAAAATATTTTCTGTAATGGCAGCCTTATTCCAAAACAGGCAACAACAAATTAGCAGGTTTTTAGCAAGGAGTAAAAATAATTTTATGTCCATTATAGTCCAGGTTAGTGCCTATGGATTTATTAATGAATAGTGGGATGGATTGTACCATTCAGTTCTGTTACCATTACATTTATCTGCTTTTGTAGCTTTTAATTTTGTTGGCTGATGGTTTTAAACAAAATTTTAATTGAAGGTTTGTTACATTTTAGTTTCACTATGTTATTCTTGCAAATTGCTAAGTGAGTCAGCTGCTAAATATTAAAATAGAAATTGAAGGAAATCAGTAGAGATTTTAAAGATGCCGACTTTATTTATTTAGAAATTTTGTTTGCAAGATGATCCAGATCCAGGTCTCAAAATATTTAGTTAAAAGATTAATGGTGGACCAGACAATTGCTGCATATTATTTTTAATGTTGTCTTTACTAATAGTATTCACTGTTAATCACTGGAAAACAGGTGTGATGGTTTTGGGCTCATATATGCTTTATAAATTTCCCATTGGAATGTGTCTCAGGATAGGAAACATCAGAGGTGGTCTTCAGCAGGTTCTGACCAGTTCTGGAGAACCAATAGCAGAAATTTTGATTAGTTCGGAGAATTGGAAATTCCACCTCTGACTGGACATTTTACAATATCCTTCCCCTGCCACGCCCACGAAGCCATGCCCACAGAACTGGTAGTAAAAAAAATTGAATACCACCACTGGGGAATATAATATTGATTTAGAAAGGCCTTTGATCCAATCCAACAGGTGGATCTTATATTATTTGGAACAATAATCAAAAGACTGACAAAGAATCATATCATAAAATCTCTTACTCTCCTTTTTTGTGAATTGTGGTGATGCTTAGAATAGTGCAAAAGATGGATGAATTTCTAATCCTAACTATTTGAGACCAGGACTTCTTAAAAATGTATTTTCTTCTCTGGATTTGCTGATTATTTCACACTTTCTTCATAAAGAAGAGCATTTTTAGTGATGCTTCCAAGATTTTTCACCTATAAATCACACTAAGAGGCACAAATTATTTATGAGAGAGCCCATTGCTGATCATATATTGCAGGGAGGTCTGAAATTTTGATACCTGTGTGTAAGCATTTCTTGACACTCATCTTAATATATGAAAGAAAAGGCAACATATTGCCTTATGGCAGGAGAGAGACTTCTTATAATTCAAATGGGGAGATTCTGGTAGAACAGCTTCCCCCATTATTCTGGAGGCTCATCGCTCCCTTTGAGGTGGACAGCAAAGTTGACTTAATTCAGGAAAAATCATGACTGAACAAAACCAAGGGTGAGATCCTGTCACTGCCTGTGAATCATGTAAGTTCGTTGTTTTTTTTCGCTTTGAGGAAGCATCATTAGGAAAATATAATTTCAAATTATTTGATAAAGTCTGTCTATTTTGTGGCAAATTTGCCATTTGTTTCACATGTCCATGGGTGTCAAACTCAAGGCCCAGGGGCCGGATCCAACCCGCAGGGTGCTTAGATCTGGCTTGCGAGACCACCCTGGAAACAGTGAAGGACCGGCCCGTGGTGCTTCTGCCAGTGAAAACGGGGCTCTGTTTTCACTGGCAGAGGGTTGTAGGAGGCTGTGGCATCTGAAAACAGAGTTCGGGTGCCCATTTTTGCTAACAGAGCACTTGGGTCACCACAGATGCTCCCGACATGAGTGACTCTGAGCTGGCCATGCCCACCCTGGCCATGCCCAGCCCAGCCCCCTGAGGTCAAACACAACCCTGATGTGGCCCTCAATGAAATCAAGTTTGATATCCATGTCAGTCCTTGGGACAGTTCCAAAATTTGTTCTGATGTGTGGCAACAGTGAAGAGGAGAGGCCACAGGTCACACAGAATCATGGTGGAGGATATGTCCTGTTCATGTCCAACTTTTTCTGAGACCTCCTGCTTTTTTGAGAGAGTTGCTTTGGTCTTGTGACTGTTTTGCAGGCCTGGGCAAAGCCTCAATCAAGGCTTCAATAAAATACCTTTTGATTTGGTTCACTGATGCAGAGCAACCTCCTGCTATTCAGCACCGCATTGGAGATTCTGCTCTGCACTGCATCAGTTCTTCATTGACCTTCAAGATGCAAATATTTCCATTTAAGTAAAAGAATTAGGAAGATGGCAACTTCAAAGGTAGGGATACAAAGTGGTAAAGTAGAAGGCCTTTCTTTGATGCTATCTTGAAGTAGATGCCTTCAGCAATTGGAATCAAGGGTGACTCCCAAAAGAAACTGTTTCTTCTCTTCTTCCTGTTGTAGTCATTCATTATTGGTTAAAACAATGCCCCAAATTTAATTTTTCTTTCTCTTCTGTTCTTAACTGTTTTACTCATTCAGAAAACAGAAGAAATCTGGATTCTAATGATGTTTTCCCTTAGTTATTTTGGATGATTATGCAACTGACCATGAGTGACTCCTATAATTCAAAGAATTCAAGTCTACCAAATATGCATTGGCATTGTTACCCACCAACTGTGAATATGGATAACGAAAATGGGTGACACTGTAAAAATTTGACTGTCCTTGGTCTGAACCGATGGCACTTCTATTCTCTGCACCCAATCACATATGCACAATTCTGTGTGGCAGAGGCAAGTGAGCAACAGCTATTGACATACGATTCATCTGAGTGACTTTGTGTAAGTCATCTGTGTGTTTATTACAGCGTTACATTTTTGGTTATGAGGGAAAGAAAAAGAGGGAGAGTATTTTTAGTTTAATTTATATAATAGATTCAGACTCAGAAGTTCAAAAATATCACACATAAAAATGTATTTTATTAAAGATTTGTTGGTTTTTTTTCCTATCTTCAGTAAAGTAGGAAAAACTTCAGTATAATTTTGTATTGAGAATTGCTGATTTATTTCTTTGTATGGAATATATTATACCAGATAGATATGCATGTACATGAAAACAATATTAGTGCTGAACCTCTCACCATTTCTGAAATTACTATGATGTCTGATTATATCACATATGAAATCTTAGAACTTCAATCAAGTCATATTAGACTAATTATGTGGATATGGGTTTTACAGCATGGTAAATCTTAGTATAAATCCACTGAAGAGTGAATTCTGTTCATACAACGTATGAAAGGAGTCAGGGTAGATATTATTTCTCTCTGTCCTTTCTCCCTCAGAAATGTTTTTTATTCAATGAGCATTTGGCTGCATTGCTCTTAACAGATAATTTCATACAAAATTTTTAAAATCATAGCTGTAAGATTACCTCTTACATTTTTAAAAGAATCTGCAAGGTTAAGTATCTTTTTCCATATTAGATTTGGGGAAAATTTTCTTCCTTTATATCCCTTCTCTTCCCCAATGGGGTCAAAAGGAGAATTTCTTAGCAATTGATGATTATTTTCTTTATATTGCTAGTATGGATAGCATCCCAACCTGGTGTTCTATGAAAGCTAACATGTCCTTGGAATATGAGTGTCTTTGAGGAAAGCTGACTTAAAGCATTTAGGGAAGCTTTATTGCTGTATCTTACTTTGTTGAGTAGTACTTGCATTACTTTGGAATCAATCATCAAAAAGTGTTTTGAAACACCCGTCTGCACCATTTTATGGTAGCTCCATCTTTTCCTAGGTTCTAAAACATCTTTTTCTAATTGAATTCCAAATGTTTTAGAGTCCTAATTAAGCCTTAGTGAATCAATTTTTTCTTGAAAGAAGACTACAGAAGAAAGAAATTAATAAGATATTATATATTCATGTATGTGTTGACTTGGTTTAAAGTAGCTTCCTCCATTAATTCTTAATACATTGGCAAAATAAATGGTAGTTGAACTTCATATCACTATGAGTAAATATTTTAATAACTACTGCAATGAAGCATTTGACTTTTGGGATATAAAAACCCTTGATTTTATAGCAGAAAATGGATGGTACCTCAAAAACAAACAAACTAAGCAGCCAACCCCAATACTTTTAATAGCAGACTTTTGATGAAGTTCAGAAATATTTATAGGTATTCCCAGCATTATTTAAAAAAAGCCTTTGTAGCAATTTTTTCCATAAAAAGCTGAACATTATACAAAAATAAATAGTCTATGGAGGATTATTTGTTCACAACTCCAGCGCCTGCAAAAGCAGCCAGTCAAATTTGAACAGATGTTCCCTTGACAGATAATGCAGCATGAGGCATTGGTAAATCAGTCATAGGCCATACTTATAAATCACAATATTTCAGAGGACTCACTTCAGCTCTTGCAGTTAAAATGCATTTTTTATCTCTCTCTCTCTTCTTAATAAGTGCAAAGGGT